ACTCACACACTGTCCCTGCAGATCCCCGGAGCTCTCCTGGCAGCTTCCGATTCCCCTGCAGGACAGCATCTGCCATCAGCCCCTCTTCAGGTGGGGCCAAGCCAGGCAGATAAGTCAAAGACTAGTTGCTGTCTGAGTGGACATGAGTAACCAAGAAGGGAGGTCTTCACCCAGCCCTTGGTCCCTCACAGATACCCCTCAGACTCTGAGCCTGTCCACCTTAATCCATCAAGAACCACAGAAGAGAAAACATCCTTTGAGGGAGCAGCTCCCTGGGTGCATTCCTGACACCAGCTTTGGAAGAGGCATTCAGCCTTCAGGCCCTGCCTCGAGAAACCATTTTGGTTATGGTGGTGCTTCCACAAAGACAAGCTCTGATAAACTGGTTCACATGGCCTGCTCCTGCCCTCAGCCACACGGATGCCACTGTATAGACAACAGGACTATCACAAGTTACATGAGACCTTAGGGGTAACACAAAGGTGAGGGCACAGCAGGACAGTGGGGATGGGAAGAGGCACCAGCACTGAAAAGGCCACATCCTGCTGCTGGCCGTGGCCATGGCTGCGGGGGAGCGGCAGCCCCGACTGGCAGGCGGCAGAGACAGAGTGCCCAGCGAGGCTGCCGGGGCCAGCCCCAAGGGTCCCCAGGGCTGATCCTCCATGGGGCAGCTGAACATTTACCTCCTGAACCCCTCCTGCATGCTGGGGCTGCTCAGCCTGCTCCAGGGGAGATGTGAAGAGATGAGAGAGAACTATTTTTCTGCTGGATTTTATTTGAGTTTATCTAAACAGGGAGCTCGAATCCACCCGTTCATGAGGTCATTGAGCCAAGACAAAAGTATGTAGGAGGCAAGAATAATAATATCACCAGTCCAGAACAAAACTAAATAAATTTTAAAAAAGCAAAAAAAAAAAAAAAACAAACCAAAACAAACCAACAACCCCCCCACCCCTCAAAAAAAACCCACCCTAAATATAAAAATCAATAAGCAAATGTTGAAACCTTAGTCCCGGTTTTCCAGAAATACAGTGGGAGACCCAGTGGGATACAGGATGCCTTATTAATCTGAAGTAGATCGTATTAAAATATTAGGCACAGGGCATCCTTGATTTCCTTGCTCTTCATGCTGTAGATGAGGGGGTTCACTGATGGAGGCACCACTGAGTACAGAACAGACACCACCAGATCCAGGGAGGGGGAGGAGACAGAGGGTGGCTTCAGGTGGGCAAATGAGCCAGTGCTGATAAACAGGGAGACCACAGCCAGGTGAGGGAGGCACGTGGAAAAGGCTTTGTGCCGTCCCTGCTGTGAGGGGATCCTCAGCACTGCCCTCAAGATCTGCACATAGGACAGCACGATGAAAACAAAACAGCCAAAAGCTAAAAAACAATTTAATGTAAGAAACCCAACTTCCCTGAGGTAGTCTGACTGTAAGCAGGAGAGCTTGAGGATCTGGGGGATTTCACAGAAGAACTGGTCCAGGGCATTGCCTTGGCAGAGGGGGAGTGAAACTGTATTTGACGTGTGCAGCACAGCATTGAGGAACCCACTGCCCCAGGCAGCTGCTGCCATGTGGACACAAGCTCTGCTGCCCAGGAGGGTCCCGTAGTGCAGGGGGTGGCAGATGGCAACGTAGCGGTCATAGGCCATGACTGTGAGAAGAGCACATTCTGTTCCAAGTAAGAAGAAAAGGAGAAAGACTTGGGCAGCACATCCTTCATAGGAAATGGCTCTGGTGTCCCAGAGGCAATTGGCCATGGCTTTGGGGAGAGTGGTGGAGATGGAGCCCAGGTCAAGAACAGAGAGGTTGAGGAGGAAGAAGTACATGGGGGTGTGGAGGTGGTGGTCGCAGGCGATGGCGGTGATGATGAGGCTGTTTCCCAGGAGGGCAGCCAGGTAGATGCCCAGGAAGAGCCCGAAGGTGAAGAGCTGCAGCTCCCTCTTGTCTGTGAATGCCAGGAGAAGGAACTCTGTGAAGGAGCTGTTGTTGGGCATTTGCTGTTTCTTAGCATGGGGGCCTGTTCAAAAAAGAGCAGGACAGGAAAAAGTTCAGAATATTCCCCTGAGTCACCCCAGTTGAAATGCATTTCCTTTCTCTGGTTGGTGCTGGCTGAATGTGGTATGAGGAGCAGGACCTCTGCCCGTGTGCTGCTGAGGACTCAGCCCTGCTCTGCTGCAGTGGGTACACAGGAGCTGCTGTGTGACAGCTCTCATGTTTAAAAGGAGTGTCAGATGTAATCCACCTGTAATGGAAATTTCAACATCTGCACTCGTGACTCTCCAGAGTGCGGGCTGCAGAGCAGAGGCTTAGCGTGTATTCATAATAATTTTATCTATGTATTTAACTTTTCACCATCACATCTGGTGAGTGTTATGTTGAGGGCTGAAAATCCTCATTGTGATGACTGAAAATGTGAAGAGTCTTGAGATGGGACAAGCAAATGGGTTAAGCTCTCTGTGGCTTAGAGCAGAGTCAGGAGATCTGCAGTGTCCATCAGGCTTTTGCCCATCTGCCCTGTGCTTTTCCTTCTGCTGCCTTCAAGATGACTTCACTTCTTTTAAAAAACCCTAGAAACTGAACACGTGTGGGATGAGGAGAGCACTGGTTGAGAAGGCAGATCTGCAATCTCTTCTCTGTCCCAGCCCAGAGATGGAGGTGTGATGGAGGGAGCAGGACACCACCCCTCCCAGAGAGAAGCAAAGCACTCTGAGAGGAGAGTGCCCACCCCCAAGGAAAGGCTCAGCACGCCTCAGGATCCCACGGCAGAGCTGTGCCTTGCTGGGGGCAGCTCCCAAGCCCCGCAGGAGCGGCAGAGCAGGCAGTCGGGGGTGCCGAAAAGGAGATGCTCGAAAGAGAGAGTGTGATGAGGTCCCAGCAGACAGCGCCCAGCAGACCCCTCCAGTGGCGGAGCCCCAGAGAGCTGGCTGAAGGCAGCCTCCCCCCGGGTGTGTTGGCAGTTTCCCCCCAGCCCTTGCCCCTCTCTCTGCTGCCTGGAGCTGTCCCTGCCAGGAGCTGTGGCTCTGTGCCCAGGTCTCCCCCTGCCAGTGCTCCCAGAGCCCATCCCACCCGCTGTGTGCTCAGCTCTGCCCTGCAGAGCCCTCCCAGCAGCAGGGCACTGCCCAGGGCCAGCTCTGGCTGGGCGGGCTCCCGTGGGGACAGCAGGGACACTGGAGGGGCTGCAAAAGGCACACTGATGCTGTCTGTAAGCCACAGAGTGGTGATTCCTGAGACTCCATGGTTTAGTTACATCTAAGAGAGACAGGTTGGGAACTTCTGTGCCTGATCCTGTGCTGACAGATGAATTTCTATGTCCCATTGCCCACATAGCGAACCCTGAGTAGAAGGATGGAAGAACAGGACCCTTCCCTTTCAGGTAGCCCCTGCCTTGCTGTGCTTGTTGAAAAATCTCCTGGGAATGTCCTGCAGTGATCTGCAGCTGTGAGCAGCCCTAACTCACACAGAACCCTCTCCACAGCAGGACCCTACCCTGCCCAAGGTTGTGCTCCTTCCATGCACAGATTCTCCCCACAGACGCTCTGTGGGGAGCTCCCCGGGCAGGTGGAGAG